GTTGAAGGGTATAAAATGGTTATAATACCGCTGGTGAAAATATTTATTGTTAAGATTTAGTTCCTTTTATCAACGACTAATTAAAGACGTCCTTAAAATGTATTTTCCTTCTTATATTTAGTTTTTTAATTTTTAGTATGTCTAATGTTTAATAACTAATTTAGTGATTTCTATCTAATTAAAACGTACAACTTCCTTGTTTATTTTTATCATATATTACGTAAATATGGAAAACGTACCTACTTAGTATGGCAGATGTAACTATATTTTAGCGAACCATCTAATTCTAAATAGCTGAAACTCGATATCGTTGATATAAATTAACATTATTTATCCTACATAATAATAATAATAATAGTAATAGTTATTACATCACTTATACAAAATAAGGATGAATACTTGGAGAAGATAGAACTCACGCTTGAACCTCGGGACACAACACATCGGCTCCCGGATCTACCAATCGATCGCGTGGTCGACCAGAGGTGAAAAAGACATTACTAACCTGTTGAATGTATCGCTTATACATTATAAGTTTGTATCCAAATCCAATAAACGTTGTTTCAAGAAAATAAAGTGTTATATGCAACATGATGAGCATACACAATTATATTAGAAAAATAACACTCGAAAAGGCTTAGGATTGCCGCATTGCCATTTTTTACAGTCGCCTACAGCGCAATTAGAAGGAAAGTCATCAACTTGAAATTATTTTAAATAGAATCATGAGCTCCATCTTATCTCTAATTTTAGAAAATAGAGTACCAATCTAAATACAACACAATAGTAAATCGCTAGTTAATAATGCGTGGTTTCAAAAGCTTGTAACTGAAGGAGCACTTTATTAAATTTCATTCTAAAGTTATGACTGGAAGTAATTTGGAAAAGTTCTAAATATCTGCTCAACAAACAAGGTGCCGTATAAATTAAAGCTACTTTAAATTTAGATTTTACAAGGCCTGGAATATTATAACTATCATCGTTTCTTGGAAAAACGAACAAAGGATATATTCTCTAAGACACTATATGTGTAACTTACTTATACGAGCATTTTAAAACTTTATACCAAAGACCACCATATAAAACACTGAACGGTACTTATATTTCAAAATATGTCTTCTTTCACGTAGTAACCAGTGATGTGCCCCTGTCTACCTACATTATAACAAAATCTTACGCAACCATTCTGTATCATTTGAATTTTTTGCTTTATTCCCTTTGTGAGAAGGTTATAATATACTGTAACTCCATAATCTCAATGTGTAAGGATCAATGAGTTTGCAAGTATTAATTTTATATCCCTTGTCAATATGTTTTAATTTTTTCTATAATTTGAACAATAGTACCATCTATTATATTTGTAGTCATTGATTCCTTCAAATTCGGAACAACTAGTCTCGAACCAGTATAACAATCTTTAGTTTTTGTCTCTCCGACAATATTTTTTTTCAATATTCTGTTATGATTTCTAAATTCATGTCAAGCTCAGATATGAATTTTATAATGCCTTATATATTTGTACATCATCCGCGTACAAGTCTACATGCCCACGAGATGATATATAATCTGTTAGATCTGACGTGTAAAAGGTACATAATAAACAAGTTTATTCACAATTACAACCAGTAATTACAACAACTCATTTAAATAATAAATGTAATTGCAAACATACAGAAAAAACTAAACTAAGTGCTGACCCGATTGATGCAAAAATAATGAACATTATGCCGTGAGAATTTTAAGCGAAGTTGAGGAAGAAAAAGTATAAATGGTTGAGATTTATTATAATGTTAATTAATATATGCGCACATCATTTCATTTTTCAGTTTGTAGTAGATACTTTTTGTAGTAGACTTTAAATGATCTGGAAGATAGGTTCTTAAAATGGAAGGGAATATTATTATATATTCTATAGTTATTAAATGTAAAAGCTCTCTCAAATACAGAAGCCTGATGTAGAGGGGGAGAGATACGGAAGTTACTGCGGCTGTTTAAATTATGGACGTCATGCCTAAATGTTGTCCTATTCCATAAATATGCAGGCGTTTTAATTATGGAATAATGCTGCTGAATGAAATTTTCTTCTGGAGCCATATTCCATATTGGGCCAATCAATTTGCTCTAGCTTGTGGATACCCTGTCAAACTTGCGGATGCCAAAAATGAACCTGAGACACGCCTTTTGGATTTTCTGAATTCGTCCGCAATCCATCTTCGTTAAGCAGTGAGAATAATATTTAATCTAATTGGCAAAATATGGCGATGTGTGAACAAAAACTTCAACCGAATAAATGCCGTTTGGATGCATTTTTTTACGTGACCAGAGAATCTCAATTCGATATCCATTTCCAAACCTAAGTTCCTTGCCACTTTGACATTCTTAATTGTACTGTTACCCATTTTGAGAGTGAAGTTATCTTCCAAAGTACCTTTTTGTTTACCAAATGTCATAACGGCAGATTTGGATGGGTTAATGGTAAGTTGGTGTGACAGAGATTCAGAGTGAAGTCTATCCAATTCCATATTAAGCTCATCATTTGCAGCAGCTGAGCTGAGATGGTCAAAAGGAAAATTTTATCTGTGTATCGTTTGCATGCAAATGACAGGAACATTTATTTAAAGCTTTAAATATATTAGAAGAATATATCTGGAAAAATATAGGACCCAAAACTGAACCTTGTGGCACACCACAACCAATCTCACGTACACTGGATGTACCTTTAGATGTTTCCACAAATTGATAATATGGCACAGGGCCTAAAACATTTCGTTGAGCGAACATTTTATCACTCACTTTCACGCACGGAGATCTATCAGTCAAATAGTTAGAGAACCATTCCACGGCACTGCAGGCAAAACCATAATTTTGAATTTTTTTACACAAGATCTTGTGGTTTACCATAGCAAACGTTTTGCTACAATCCAATCATCACTACTAGCGTAACCGTGACATCATCGATGCACTTGACCATGCTACTAGTAATTTTGATGGGTGATGTTGACGTATTGTTTAGTTTCCTGAAACCCCACTGGGTGTCAGGCAAAACATAAACTATCGATTAGCTCAATCATCAGATTCTCGGACCAAAGTCGACGTCAAGAAGGGTCAAGCTTAATGGGATTTCGCCGTTTTGTTGCAAAGCTCCCATGGCTCCCTTCCAACTCCATCATCCAAAAGCAAATACCTGGTCGAGCAAAAACTGAAATCACAGCCAACAGAAAGATTCGAAAATACTTGATTCAATTTGATATTCACAGTTTCTTTCAGGGCGCATTGAACTTTTTCATTACAATCACACTAAAATGGGACCGTAAAATGACTATTCATAATGCGAAAGAAAAGGTATTTCTAAGAGCTTTTATGTTTAAAATTGAAGTAGATAAGACTCAAAGTTGAAGTTTCGGTTTGTCCTTTTCATTAAAAGTTCTGGTTTATCTCCAGTAATTTGCATTTTTCGATATGGTTGTTACGTATGCAACTTTGTTAAGAAACAAAGATTGGGAATCAGCGCTTTAGGTAACAAGGAGTGGAATGAAATACGTATATCAAAGTTAGCTCACAACTAACAAGACTGTTCTTAGAAACTTTCGCTATCTTCGGCAATTGTCTGGAACACTAGGATTGTATGGAGCCCATGCGCCTTTCTACAAAAGACAATACGGTTTTAATTTGAAATTTCAACAGCTGTTATACCGGCGGCTTAAGCCTGATCGATTTGTAGTATGAACTTGGATCCTGATCACTAATTTCGATTCAAAACAAGTCGCATGCTTACTCCTCCAGCCTAGCCTGAATTCTTTATATATAATGGCTACCGACCCTTAAGTTCTAGTTAAAAATAAACTGCCTGCTTGCCCAAGAAGTAGTACCCCCACAAGCATATTGTGAGAGAAACAAGTAACGCATAGTTACTTGACTCTCTCTGGAAAAGCATTTAGCTATATAAAAGAACCTTAGCATTATATTCACCATCTCTTTCTTACCATAAAGCTGTAAAGGATGTCTAGGTGACAGGATCCATATAAAGTTAGTAATTATTGGGCTAAAACCGTAATAAATTTAAATTATGTCTGAGGGATTAATGTGGCGTTATTTAGGAGACATGCTGGAGATTTAATAATTTTTTATTAGGGAGTATCCGCCCTGGTCCGACGAACTTTTTTCATTTGCCCCAGTCAGCTGTCCGTAGACCGTGAACAGTTCAAAGAGTGCTGGAGATAATTTGCAAAAATGACTGACATTAAGTGCTTTCAGAGTTTTTTGTGGGAAATGGCGCATATTAAACATCGTGAAAATATATACTAGTTTAGTCAAGTTAGGTAAAACTCACGAACATTAACCAAATACCCAGTGATTTTACGCATCTCAAAATGCTTCTGATCATTGTTTATTGGAGATAATTTCATATGTAACTTAGGCCCTATCTTCTACAAATAGTTATGCTGATGAACGCATTCGATAGTTTTTGCCATATTTTCCTCCTCACTTTATTTCAAAGCTTTATGAGGGGATTCTCTGAAGTACATGCATATAACGAACGCTACTAAAAACCCTTTTTTATACAGGGTGGCGCATCGAAAACAAAACAGACGCATTTACTGGCAGCTCAGTTTCTTTTTTGAAAAACGCTCAGACCCGTCGATTTTGTTTTCGAGGGGAACACAAGTTTGGCAAAAAATCACGCTGGCACGTGCAGCCCCCTAAGCGGGGGTGACACCACCCCCAAATTCTAAAATGGAAAGAGGGGTCGAGTGATACCTTATTTTAAAGGTCGTTCAATTCCCTTTATAATGATATAAAATTAATGTACTTCAGTTCAGTAGTTTTGAGGACTTATTGATTTAAAGCTTGAATAAAACTAATACATCATCATTAGTGGAGATCAATACATTTAGCAGCAAAGTAATTTAAAAATGAAGAAGGACCTGACCCGTTAGGCAAGTAAATGTTAAAAATGGCCACCAAGACTCTCCATGCAATAATAAAGATTTTGATCAAACCCTTGCCGCACATTTTGCAATATTTGAGGAGTAATTTGAAGGCACTCTTTCACAATTCTTTGTCGCAGGTCTTCTAATGATTTTGGCGAAGTAGCATGGATTTTGCTTTTTAAATGACCTCACATAAAGAAATCCAAAATCGTCTTCCTTAAGTTCTTGTACCAGGTGAATTTTATACGGATGAAAACTATGGGCCTTTAGAATCCGTTGGAAAGTACATTGACCTACACCACACATAGTCTCCAATTTGTGGGTACTTAACGTAGGATCTACATAAACTGGCCCTAAAACCCCCACTTCTATTGCTTCGTTCCTTAAGGGATTTTCAATATTGCGTTTTTTATTGGCGACTGACCCAGTTTCCCGAAATTTAGCTACGAGTTCTAGAACATATTTTCGATGCACGTTACTGTTCTCAACTCGCTCATTAAATATTTCTGCTATTCTATTAGCGCACTGATTATTTCCGAAAAATATTTCGATTATTTCTACTCTTACTGCTGTGGTTAATTTATGTAATAAAGCGTTACAAGTTATTTTAGCACCAAACTTTGGTCAAATCAATCGCAAACTATGTACTAAATTCCTATTTAAAATAAGTACGAGATATTTCCTTATCTTTCTTCAAGAAATAACTTTTTTGCCACCAAAAAACGCTAAAATATCTATTTTCAACAAAAAATTATAAACAAAACATGGTCGTAGTGAAGAAAAACATTTACTTATTAAGTAAATCCTTTTAGTCAAATTTATTCTGAATGTAGTACAAACCAATCTGATATACCTATTTTTTGCCAAACTGGTGTCCGCCTCGAAAACAAAATCGACGGGTCTGAGCGTTTTTCCAAAAAAAAAACTGAGCTGCCAGTAAATGCGTCTGTTTCGTTTTCGATGCGCCACCCTGTATAAGGCAAATGTTTCAAATTCGAAGCTCACCAATGGAATCTCGGAGACGGTAAGCGATATGAAGTCGTTTAAATTGATGTCAAGTTGCACATTTAGACGATTAAGAAACCGGTACATAAAAGTGTTTCAATTCCGAGTATCTCCAGGGATAAACGGAAGAAATCGAACTTTCCCAAAATCGTTCATCTTTTTTCTGGCTTTGTTTGAGATGGTACTCCAAAATAAAAAATTACATTAACATTGCCACTTTTTCTTATCTACAAGCTGGCATAATTAGAACTTCAACACAACTTTTGTTTGATTTCAATCAGTAACTTTATTTTTTATCATAGTTGCCATATTTAATTTTTGTAAAGTTGAATAGGCTTCTTAATTCTAATTCCGAAAACGTAAAATATGTACATTGACATTGACAAGCCTAAGTTATTTCCAAAAGACGTAATTTCCCAAGAAAATTATCAGGTTGTCATTTGTTTCACTTTACCACCAGTCAAGCATTAGTTTTTGTGAACTAGGTGAACAACTCTACTTTCGATGTTAATAAAGTGTGACAGTACTTATCATGACAGGGATTGAAATTATAAAACTACAATGATCTTATAAAGGCAATCTCTTTATAGCTGGTATTAAATCATTCTATAAAGATGAATCTGATGCTATAATGTTTTCATATTTTTTGAGGGTAGTGTTGAAAATATTAAATACAGAATTAGTTTGGGCAATTGCAACATTTTGAAGTAAGTAAAAGCCATATTGCAGCTTCCTAAACACATTTCATATACCTCATATATTAACCGATGCTGATATCTTGTATGCAGCATTCAAATACTATTAATCTACGGCAAATGTGTCATATATATTGCCCTTAAACACTTCTCGAAGTTGAAGCATAGGCGATTTAATAGGATAAACGTGTGATAAACAGTAATTTCCAAATCCAACTGTAACAATATGTATTTTTCGAAATAACTTAGGTTAGACGATGTCAATGTATGATATTCGTAGAATCAGAATTAAAAACACTATTCTACTATGCATAAAACCAATATGGGGTCTATAAGAAAAAGCAAAGTTTATAACTGAGGACATGTCGAAATGTCATGTTGAAATTCTAACTACGTAATCTTGTAGGGGACAAAAAGTGACAATCTCAGTGCACTTTTTATTTTAAAATCTCATCTCCAACAAAGCTAGGAAAAAATAAAGGCGATTTTGAGAAAACTCGGTTTCATCCATTTATCTTCAGAGATACTTGGAATTGCGAAACTTTCTGTACCTATACCATTTTCTCAGTTATCTAAGTGCGCACTTTTGTCCCATTTATTGGACTTCGCTTCAGGGATCCCAATGGTGAGCATCGAATTTGAAACACCCGGTATAAGTATCTGATTCAACAAAATTTTGAGAGTATCCATCTGAGCCCCACATGATAGCGCCCATAGCAACTTTCATGCTTTTTGGCGGTCATGTCACAATGCCATACGAACTAAGTATACACAGATCGGCTAACTGCACCATGTGCGGAGTTTTACTTACCTAAACCGATCCTTAACGCAGCTGTTACCCGTTCTTGTACACACATACAAATATGGTGATAGAAGAATATTCATTCGCTTCTCCAAAATACTCCAATAAATTTATTATAGATGGTTGACGGTGTACACAAGGTGAACTTGGAGCCTATGCCTGACAATGACAGTTATGTGACAAAATGTCACAGTCACAGGAGACGTGTTTCTGCAATCTTACATAAACCGTCATGCATGGAGGCCTGTTGCTTAATTTATCTGTGAGGAAGATGGATGTAAGGAAACAATTCCTGTACTTCAACTGTGACCAACAAGACCCGTGAAAAGACCTATGCTCATTCGTATGTCGGACACCATGGGTAATAAACGCTCAAAAATAATATTTGATAGCCGATCTGCACCGTATTTAGCTCCCTGATGTACCACCCACGAATTACTCCATTCTAGCCGCAACAGTTCTCTACATTGTGCGGTATCTGACAATGTCATACAGCATACAGCAAATTGGGTATATCAGCAACGAGTCATTCATTAGAAAACGGGCGTTGAAGACATTAATCACAGAGCTCCCGACATGTATAGTTTACTGCTCCCGCTATTAGCAGCACTAAGCTATGAAAGATTCGAAACCATACAGGATGTTCCACTTAGTGCAGCGACTTCGTACTCAAAAAGTTGGCGTAAGACATTTATGAGAATTTGTGTTTATGAGATAACTGATGGGAGAGATTCAGCTAAAATACTCTCAAAATGGTGGTTTTTTCAGGTTATACCGGAAGTAAATACCAGTTTACTTATTTTCAATAGAATACTCATTATACTATCCGAGTTTTGAGTTCTACGCAAGGCTCTCAATGCATTTTATGTATACCGGTCCATACCTAAGTTCTTGAGATATTTTTAATTTTTGGTAAAGAATGATAAATGCAAGCAAATGAATTAAAAATATTTTTCCGTATTTTTGTCTTTCAGAGAATATTATTTGTTACGGATTTCTAATAGTGAGAAAGCTACTTTCGTAGATTTCATTGCGGACCTAGATCACAAATAGTACAGCGTTATCAAAAAAGAACCATTTTTTCAAATGGTAACTACCTTTTTCATGATATCATCGTATTAAGCATTGAAAATGAGGTTAATTTTGTATATGCTCTACTGCTTGAATGCTCCATACGGCTTTTGCCATAAGAAAATTTCAGCTGGTCATGACTAACTTCATCTTATAATAAAATCCCTATGGAGCATTTAATCAATGAGAGCAATATATTTCCATGGACCTCAACAAACATCACATTACAAAGTAGACAGCTTTATAGAAAATTAAGTTCATTGCAAATGCTTAATACGATGGAACTATAAACTATGTGGTTTTCTTTGATAAAATTGACTTTTCGGGTTTTCTCGAGTGTCTATAAAATCTAATATCCATTTTCTTTGTTTGATCACCCTGTACTATTTTTTATCCTGAAAACGACTAACGTCTGCTTAAGTACATCCTCTATAATAAGAAGCTCGTCACAATGCCAAGGGCAGAGGTATGATGAAAAATTGTTACAATTCATTCTTGAGATATGTCATGGACGGTTAGTCTTAAATATGAGATGATATACATGCAACGTATTAAGAAATACGTGTAAGATCCAGAAGTTAAACCACATATATCATGCTCTATCTTTGGTAGGCCCAGTAGTGACATCATTTTGAATATTTTAGCAGAATTGCTCCCATCAGTTATCCTATGGACTCAAACTTTCATAATTGTGTTATGTCAACTTTATTCGCTAAAGTTCTACGTTAGACACCCTGTATGCAAGTGAGTTACATTGTTTGTGCGGATAAGCCATATAGACTGGAAGGCCTAGTCTTTACTAGGCCTCGGCATCTGGAACGTGTTTCTGATTAACGATTAAAACGTTTTCTGTTTGAACGTTTTAACTGGCACTGGCGAACCAAATTATTTGTTAAGGCGGCAACCACTTATTTGACACTAAACGTTCAAACGATTATTTGTTACTAAGCGTTTAATCGATTGTTATGATTCAACAATGATAAAAATGACTGACGTCGTAGGCTTTGCAATAATGAACCTTAAGGTATTATACGTAATTTCAGATATTCGTTAGCACTTGAGCACTGCTGCAACACACAATGACTGCAAGACAATATCTCAACTGTTTGATGTGACCACGGATCGAGTATTAATATGTCGATACAAAATAAATCAGATCGATTTCATTTGAGAAAACTGACATTTTCATTCGGTTCCGACTCGTATTTTTTATTTGAGTATAGGGTGAAATCTATTGAGGTAGACTCCATTCTAAAAGGAACTCATGACAGATTGAATGGCAAAGGCGTGAAAAAGTCTAAAAAATAATTGGTCTCCATTTATGATTTTTACGTTAAGTTTGTGATATCTCAAAAACGATAGACTGAAATTTGATATCAAACTTGTGTTCGACAACTGGCAACCTGGCAAAATGGACGATGCGTTAGCGGTCGTAACCTACAAATGGTCACATCTAACACGTGTCGGCAAGCTGGGTTGCTGAATGCTTAGCCATAGTTCCAGTCACCGTTCTTGGCGGGTCAAAGTAAGACTGCCAGTTTCCTTCTATATATCTCCATCTCCCTCATACATACACATGCAACCTACCCCTGGTGTGACCGTTTGTTCGGTAAACTCAGAGACATACATTCTTTAGTTGTGTGTCTCCGTCTCGAAGAGCTTGTCGTTACAAATGAGTGCCCTTCAATCACATTTGTATAAAATTGTACAATGCCCGGAAATACGATCAGTGGAGAAGGCCTACAGCCCGTGCTAAATTTATTAGAGTATTTCCAGGAAGAGGATGAAAACAGCGGCCCCCTTTTATCCACTTAATGCGTACTGGAGAGAGTAGCAGATGTGCTGGTACGGAGACTCGATCTGTTTACTTATTTCATATGTCGTAAAGGTACAGATACACATGCTCATAGAATATCATGTTTATAAGTATGCTTGAGAATGGCGTGCTCTACAAACTGATGCATTTACTTGTGTTTAGCAGGCTTGTTTTGAGCGTTGCTCTCCTCGATCTTGTTCAAAGCCGATTCCGAACATATATGCTATTTAATAGCAAGCTCTCTGTCAGTGTTCCTTTGCAAAAATGGAAAACTAAGTGACTTTCTCCACAAATGTCAATAAAATCATCATTTTGATCGCAATACAATGGGTCCAAAAACTTTTGGTATCAAAAAAGGAGAAGAGAAGGAATAGGACGATATTCCTTAACATCTCTTCATACGCACTGTTTCGCAAAATATTGTTTTATACTGCGGAGACTTTGGCTTCCACAGACATTCATGATTTCGATATAGATGACAAAGCTTTAACGTCTTGTCGTCACAACAGTGCGTCCATTTTTTGAACACACACGAGCACCTGCTGCGAACAATACGTATTTCTGCTGGTTGGCTTCATCAGGCCCGAAATGAATACACATATGCAACTACAAAAGTAGATACACATGCTCATACATCCGGATACGGGTGTAACCTGAGGAAATAAAGATGGATGGGAGAAAATCACACACGAAGTCCATCTTTATTTCCTCAGGTTACACCCGGATCCGGATGTATGAGCATCTGTATCTACTTTTGTAGTTGCATATGTGCATTCATTTCGGGCCTGATGAATCCAACCAGCAGAAATACGTATCGCTCGGGTTACCTATCCTATTTTCTGCTCGAATCCACTTTCCTCCTTTTTGCGGATTTTGCCCATTATTTTCCTATTTTTTTGTTATATACATTTCTCCGCATGATTATTTTCTCTTTGTAGATCCTTTGGGCTTGAAGTACCACAGCAAGTGGCTATAACCAGCCGCGTGGTTGTGGTTAGATCTCGCCTTGAAAATTCGAGGTCTTCTAGCTATTTTCTAGTAAAATGTGTAGGTTGGCTCTTGTTGTGGACTTCGTGTGTGATTTTTTCCCATCCATCTTTATTTCCTCAAGTTACACCCATATCCGGATGTATGAGCATGTGTATCTACTTTTGTAGTTGCATACGAGCATTCATTTCGGGCCTGATGAAGCCAACCAGCAGAAATACGTATCGCTCGGGTTACCTATCCTATTTTCTGCTCGAATCCACTTTCCTCCTTTTTGCGGATCTTGCCCATTATTTTCCTATTTTTTTGTTATATATATATATATATATATATATACATACAGGGTGACTTCGAAGTTGAGTCATTTATTTTAACAGTGAGTAGATCTGATCAAAAGAAATGTTTTTTTCTTTTACCATTTTTCTGGTAAGATTAAAGTAACAAAGTTATAGCCCTTTGGAAGTTTGAGTACCGCCCTGTCTCAATAATAATATTATGTGCTCGTGTTTGGCAACAACGGATATAATCCGCCTTATCGGTTCATCACATCGGAAACAAAAAAGCGAAAGAATTTGGAACGATGTTTTTACAATTATTTTATTCAGTTGTATACAGTCAGTGTCAGTCGGTAACGCGTGAGTGAATAGTGGTGTCTGTTGCGTGGCTCAAACGAAATAAAAAATGGCACATGTTTATGCGGATTGGTTTCCCAATCGAGTGCAACCAACCCCTCGTGCCTTTGTTAATGTAGTACAACGGGCTCGTGAATCAGGTGACTTAAGACCTCACAGGGGACGGCATGCCGGTGCTCCAAGATCTCACGATCAAATATAGGTCCGCACTGAAATAGTTGTCGCGAGGATACTTTATAAAACAAGGTAAAAATTTTTTTTTTATTTTTTTTTTCTATTTTTACACACATATTTTGGTTTATCTTCCTTCTACAATCATTATCTGAAAATTAATGACTCAACTTCAAAGTCATATAAGTATATATATCTGTGCCTCGTTCGACATGTGCATGGATACGATCAGCTTCCATGTCTGTGGGTCCACGTAGAATAAACTTGTGAATGATACACTTTAATGAAGGACTTATTATTTGTAATATGCAAAAGTAATTTACGATCATCATAATGTTCCTGTTTTGGCGCGGACACCTATAATATCAATGATGTTGTACTTACTAGATTCTCGAGAATAGATTTCCTCCTCCAGTGCAAGCTGCACTAATTTTTGAGCCCTTGAGGACATTATTACCGTTTTTTTGTTAATTAAGCACCTTGATCAACTTTGGAGAATGATTGTACAACACAGTTTGTAAAGCAAGCGGTGCGCGACGGAGACACGACTGATTACCGCTGCGTAGCGATGATTCATATGATAGTATTGTGCGTATGTATGAAGAAGCGACTGTTTACCTATATCAAAAAATCACTAGCTGCTTGTTCTATTTCATATATTTCATGAGTATCGTGGATAGGCGCTACAATCATTTACTCCACGTAAAGATTAACCAGGGATACTAATCATGCGCAGATAATCACAAAAACTGCAAAAATGGAGTTACGATCGTATACCTCTGAGGCACAGAAATATATGTATGTATAACAAAAAATAGGAAAATAATTGGCAAAATCCACAAAAAGGAGGAAAGTGGATTCGAGCAGAAAATAGGATAGGTAACCCGAGCGATACGTATTTCTGCTGGTTGGCTTCATCAGGCCCGAAATGAATGCACATATGTAACTACAAAAGCAAATACACATGCTCATACATCCGGATACAGGTGTAACCTGAGAAAACGAAGATGGTGACGAAGAAAATCACACACGAAGTCGCCTTAGAAGAAGACTTTCACAACTCGAAAAACACATTTTTTTGTTTTCTTCCACGGAACAACTCAAAAAGATGCCTAAAGTTTGGAGAAAAATTGTTATAAATTGATCTCGACTTCTTGCCGCGAGATGGCGGAAGTGTCTCTTTGGACCTACCAAATTTTATCGTAAGATTACGCGGAAGACCGTCACATAGCCAGTTGTGTCTTGAACTCCATACAATGTGGTTCGTTTGATTATAGAAAATAGTCACATTTCGACAAATGTGCTGAGTACAGTGATTAGTTTGGTGGTAGGGTGTCATATTTTGTTTTGGAACAGTCTTCTCCATAAGGTAAGTCTTGTATTAAGGTGTTTTGGTGGAATACAGTTATATCTTGAATTAGTTCACTATTGACCTGAATTTTGTATCTTTTGCCTCATATATTTGCAATAAAACAGAACTATTTAGTGATATGACATTTTTCGGGTGAAAGTAAAAAGCAAGTTCATGTATTGCGACTATAATATTGTGATATATACTAAGTGACATATAAATCCGAACACCCAGTTTAAATGGTTTTATTTTAATAAAATTTTGTATAAGTACTTAATGAAGCATAATAAGTAAATGATAAAAATTTCAAAATGATTGCACTGCTTTAAAGCCCTTTGACCTTTAATAATGTGTGGATGCACCCCGATGTGCTACGCATTCTCCAACGCGCCTAGGCATGCTTCTGATCAGGTGGTCAATGTCCTCCTGTGGTACCTCATTCCAGGCAACCACCAACTCCTCTCGCAGTGCTTCTAGAGGAGGACGTTGCAAATTGCGCAATCTCCTACCCATCATATCCCACACGTGCTCTATTGGGGATAAGTCGGGAGATCTTGGTGGCCATGGTAACAATGTGACATCACTATGTTGAAAGAAGTCTATTGTGACTCTTGCAACATGTGGTTGGGCATTACCTTGTTGGAAAGTTGGATCTGCCAGGGTGTCAAGATAGGGTAAAAGATGGGGTTCTAGAACTTCGTGGATATAACGCTGTGCGTTCATGTTACCTCTGATGAAGATTAAAGGTGACCTGGAACCATAAGCTATAGCACCACAAGCCATAACTCCAACAGTGTGATGAACATGTCTTTCAACAAAAAACTGTGGATTTCTCCTTTCACCACGTCGCCTTCTAACCCTGGCACGACCATCGTGCATGCCTAAACAAAATCGAGACTCGTTACTAAAGACAATACTGTTCCATTCCTGATCCCAGAGTGACCATTGTCTGCACCACTCAAGGCGATTACGTCGGTGTTCTCGAGTTAAAGGGAGGACCCAGTGTGGCCGGTATGAAAACAAGCCAAAACTTCTCATTCGTCGGTAAACACTTCGCATGCCAATAGGACTTCCGTGTTCTGCAAACTATTCATTTGCAATGGACCTGCTGGTGGAGAAACGGTCCCTTAACGCCAATAATCTTAGGCGGCGATCTTCACGGTCTGTTGTTCTACGGCGGCTCCTTGCTCTTTGCGTACGGCCTTCTCGAAGCCATGCCTGACAACACCTAACCACAGTGTCTACACTTCTTTGCACTCTAACTGCAATTGCCCGAAAAGAAAGTCCAGCTTCCCGTAGTCCCACTATACGGCCCCTATCAAACTCACTAAGATGACGAAATCGTACAGGACTTCGTACTCTAGGCATCGTAACCGATCGTAAAGGATGCCAAGAACCAAAATCCGCCAACGTTGATTCTTTACTGCCGCTGAAATATTCATTTTTAGAGCGTTAGTGAATTAAAAAAAAGCAGTATAAAAACCGGAATGTCCAACTGATAAGGCTGAAAATTTTTTCACTTGTTATTTACAGTAAGATAAATACATTCACCAACTTTTATTAAAATAAAACCATTTAAACTGGGTGTTCGGATTTATATGTCACTTAGTATATAACAGTATCGTTCTTAGGAAATTGACCATATTGGTTGCAGTTTATAGTTGCAACTCAGATTGAAAGTGTCATTAATTGATCGAACACTTGCATATCATTGAGACTGTTAAGGATCTTACACCAAGTTTGCGATAAAAATACTCTAAAAATAGGTAAATGCTTTAATTTTCAGTTCGATACTATAGTTTCTGTGATTAGCGGTTGTGTCTATACGATAATCCTATCGAGAAGCCTGATGCTATATTGAAGCATTTTAAGCTAAATATGTATTCTTATTCATTCAAAGTGTACTATGGCCATTAGCAGCAGATTACGTTTGATTTTGAAACTCTCACGTCAGCTGGAGCAGGACAATCAAGAATTTAATAAATGGTCAGTAAAGAACTCTAAGGCTACGAAGCCCACACAAGAAGCTACAACTACGTCTACAGACAAATATATCTTTGCTGTAGATACTGAAACATTTTCAGGTTGGTACTTTGCAATATAACACGTACTCAAAATTTATTTATCTGTATCTTTCAGTTGCAGACACCTTGAAAACGCCTACTTTACCTATTAATCTCACCAGATCAACTGACTATGTGGGAAAATTAGTCTTTCCTGGTAATATGGACACCTGCGCAGGTTAGTATAATGCTAACAATTATTCTAACCCTGGTACCGAAAAAAGGGAGCAGCGAAACATAATTATTACACACCCCCGTCTTTGATAAGATAAAGTCGGTAGGCGGGTATCTCACCATATTAAAATGGGTTAGCATGGGCGTGCAGTGTTTTACTACTATCTTCCTTTTCGATGACAGAGTATAGCAGAGCATTCTTTTATTTTCAGTGGCTTCAAATATATCGTCTGGTGAGGGTAATACCAAGGAGAACAATGGTTCTGGGTATTGTAGGAGAACTTCGAATGAAGGTATACCTAAATCTAGCTAATGAAATATTTTTTACAAAACAATTTTTTTAGGAAGTGAATGTACAAATAGTGAGGGTGAACCTTATGGATCAGATGACTCGGTAGCTGACCCTGACTTTATAGCATCCGATGGCGCGGTACCAGATATAGAAAATAATCCAAGCTTGACGAACATTGAGGCCGAATATCAAAATGAAACAGTTACAGTTGGTGTTCAAAAAAGAATAGGACGAAAGCGGAAGTCAAACAAAGATGCGTGGCTGAAAAGTTCTGCAAAAAGACTTCGAAATAGTGGTCAAGCATATCGGTCAGCAAAACAAGTGGAGCAAGTTGATGGGGCAAAAAAATATGTGAATGTTCAAAGAGATGAGAAAAAGGTGGGACCTCCCTGCAATGATAAGTGTCGGCTAAAATGCTTTGAAAAAATAGGACCTGAAGCTAGAAACACTATTTAAAGCCTATTGGGAAATGGATGAACTTCAAAGGCAGCGTAATTTTATACTGTCCAATATGACGCCTATCCAACCAAAATACAGATACGAGAAAGCTGACAGTTGTCGTCGTCTCAACAATGTCTTTTATTTGGGAATCGGAAATGAAGGAAGAATCAGAGTTTGCAAATATTTCTTCATTTCGACCTTAGGCATCAACTCTAGGGTGATACGAACTGTTGTTATGAAGCAAAAAAATGTATGCAGTGGTATGCTCAAAGTCGACTTAAGAGGAAAACATAAAAGTCATGTGACAGTTCCAGATGAACTGAAAAATGGTCTAAGGCAACACATAATAAGCATGCCTAGAATCGAAAGCCACTATTGCCGATCGCAGACACAAAAAGAGTATATAGAAGGTGGAAAGACAATTTCGCAGCTTTACACGGATTACAAAAAAACTTGCACAGACCAAAACTTACCTTTTGTCAAATACTCTATGTACTACACCATTTTCAATACTGAATTTAATATGGGATTTTTTAACCCCAAAAAAGATCAATGTGAGCTTTGTCTTACCTTTGCAAATGCAAATGAAGAGAATCGCTTACAAATGCAAGACCCATATAACGAACACATTACCGAGAAAGAGCTAGCTCGCGTTGAAAAAGCCAATGATAAGGATTCTGACAGAATTGTCATTGTTTACGATCTACAGGCGGTTCTACCATGTCCATCCGGAGAGGCTCAGTCATTTTATTATGTTTCTAAGTTGAACGTTTTCAACTTTTCTATGTTCCGCCTACAAACAAAAGATGTTACATGTTAGCTTTGGCATGAGGGACAAGGACATAGAGGTGCAAACGAAATCGGATCTTGTGTTTGGGACTACCTGGAGAATCTGGATCAAGAAATTGACTCGCTGGGCACAAATGAAAAAAAAGATGTAGTTTTTTATTTCGACAATTGCGTTGGACAGCAGAAAAACAAGTTTATGGTCACACTGTATGTCTACGCTGTTTGTAAACTAAACTGTATACAATCAATAACACATAAGTTCCTGACAGTTGGTCATACCCAAAATGAGGGGGTGATAGTGTACATTCAGTAACTGAAAGGCGGGTTAGAAGATTTAAGAAAAACGGTCCAATCTATGTACCTGAGCAGTACGTCAATATAATACGAGATGCAAGGAAAACCTTATGCTGTTAAAGAAATGTGTTACCAAAGTTTTTTTGATCTCAAAGACCTCACTAGTCAGATAGGACTGAATATCAACAAAATTGCTGACGCTAGAGTAATATCTGTCATATTAATGAAATACTCCTTTGGTCAAGAGGAATTCAGTATAACCAACTTGTTTAACTCACGACGTAAACCTGTAAGCATAGAAGATTTACAATTAAAACAAGCTTATAGATCGAAGCCCGGAATAACAGATAAAAAAAAGAAAGGTTTGCTGTCTCTGATTGCAAAACCGGGAACAAAAAAATCGCTAACACGACCGGTTCCCACGTATTATGAAGACTACTATAAAAACTTATGAATCTATTGTAGCCAGTTGTCATAAATTCAATAAAGTCTGTCAATATTATAACTTTCTTTGATTAGACCAATATATTACTCATCTAACATTTTTTGAGAAAAATAGTCACAACTATACTATTTTCAAAAATCTAAAGTGGTAATGCAAAATAGAAATAAATAAGTCTTTTTATACTGTTTCTGACTTATAATGTTATGTAACAGTATTATATCAGTGAATAATCTGTTAGAAAATTAAGATTTTGCATTACGAAAATAATGGAATCTTTAACCGGCTCTCACAAAAAAGCGCAAATTTTGAGTTGTATCAGTTTTCTTCTAATGCGACGATATGTGCATTCATTTCGGGCCTGATGAATCCAGCCAGCAGAAATATGTATCGCTCGGGTTACCTATCCTGTTTTTTGCTCGAATCCACTTTTCTTCTTTTTACGGATTTTTCCCATTATTTTCCTATTTTCTGTTATATACATTTCTCCGCATGATCATTTTCTCTTTATATATCTATATATATATATATGAGCAGTAGTCATTACCATTGCCAACGACTAGTTGGGCAAAAAATACAATTAATTGTTAATTGGAAATTGGCAAAATTTTTGGCTTTAGTTAACTCTTTTGACAATAAAATCTAGCTTTCGGCAATTCTCTATGGAGCCTTCATTAGGATCTGAAAACAGTATTGTGATGCTAGCAACTAATACAGGAACGACTTAAAATGTCAAGCGACTTACTCGTCGTTGAGGTTGCAGCCAAATTGTGTTTCAAAACGAACGTGGAGATGAGAGCACTTGTTACGATTATAAAACAGACAGATACCATCGTTATGTGTTAAAACTATCAATACACCCGAACATATTAAAAATTAATTAACGAAAAGACATTTTGGGGACAATCACAATCGGAATGCAGTTTCTAACCTCCTACTTCCGCTACACGTGGAGAAGGTAGTCGGAACGGAAAGGTAATGCACCCAGAGATGACATGTGATTGACGCGACGGAATGTGGAACTGTAAACATCATTGTCAAATTTGGGTATGAAGTATACGAGCGACGCTCGGTAAAACCTCATCCCAAGTCACCAAAATGCTGAATTATATATATATATATATATATATATATGTATATATAATTCCGTCCTAATCGAACCTCATCGGTCCAGTTTTTTGTTCGTCGACTATCTGTTCCCTTCCATTTAAGAACTTTTTCACGCGGAGGTACCACCCGGCGGTTCTCGTAGGCGGAGCCAGAATGTGTGCATGTTGCATGCACACGTGTTCCCTCGCCAGAGTCCGTGTGGCGTCCCCCCTTTCCCATGTATCCCCCTATAGCCCCACGGTACCCAATGGGTGCTTAGGCCTTAGGCCTTCGTGGTAGTTGGAGTATAAAAAAAAGCAGCAATCTCGCCGACTTAGTAAGTAATTGTTTATTGTTGCTATTATTCAAAAATTGTTTTTCAGCTCCAGACGATGATGGCATAGACCATCGAAAGCTAATACTATATATACATATATAGTATTCATAGTTAATTGCCTTAACTGTTAGGAGAAAAAAATATCTCTCTATCTCTCGATGACTTAATTATGCTTGTATCAGTTTCTTCTCAAAATTAAAGTTATTTCTCTTCTCCTTTTTGCTTTCTTGTGGTTTTACACCAGGGTCGTTTTCTTCATCATCAGTTTGGAAAGGAGAATATTTTTTCGTATGCCACATTTTTCAGGGTCCAGTTGGTCAGCTTCTATTACATCTAGAATAAAAAGTCTCTGTTAGAAATTTATAACAAAATACTTTTAAAATTGACAACGAAAATAAAAACCAAATCGTCTATTAGTTACGAAAATTAATAAATAAATGAATAATATTTTTTGAAACAGAACGGGAAGTACTCACTTTCTAGTCCCCAAGGATAAAGAAAAATTATCTTGGAAAAGCCTCAAAAGCCTATTGTTTTTTTAGCCTCAAAACTATTATCAACAAAACCAGAGCTTTAGATATTATTTTTGAGGATAGACAAAGTGTTCATGACTTGTAAAAACTCTTATTATTAAGTCTATCAGAAAAACTTTTAGGGGCCACATACATTTATTTGACTGAAGGTCAATATGCTTGGCCAAAAACTCCTAACCTAAGCGAGATGTCCATGTACCTTGAGAATAATTGTTTGGGTGCTGGTAAGGTTCTGGTCATGTGCTCTTTTTCTGGACTAGACCGAATAGTTGTTCTTCCTATAATAGCCGTTTTTTTTTTTAAATTAGCTTTAGATTCACTCTACTGAACTCTGCAGCTTTGTCCAGAAAAGTGACATTTTCGGGTTACCTATATTATTTTCTGCTCGAATCCACTTTCCTTCTTTTTGCGGATTTTGCCCATTATTTTCCTATTATTTTTTTTTGTTATATATATATATATATAATTTAGTGCCTATAAACTTAAAGGAATGCCTACATATTAGAAAACTGAAAAAAGAATTGACGGGATGGATTTTAAGTCGACCTAGACTTCCAGATGCTAGATATGATAAATATTTATTATTTTGTAGGGTAATTGAAAAAGACTTCCCATAACTTATTTTTGATTTATAATATTGATGGAATAAATTAGTTTCACTGCATTTTTTCCCTGACTTTTTGCCACTCACCAAAGATCCTAAGATTGTTCATATAAAAGGGTTTTGACCTTTTCACCTGAGTTTTGAAAAAAAAACGATACTGTCAGAAACGACTAGCTTTGTCTTTTTCAATTCTATTATATGTAATAGTTATGTATAAACCTTAAAACCCTTGCACAAGTTTTTCAACTTTTTTTGGGATTACTACATTGCTACTTTTTATAACGTTCTATGTAAACTGTTTGACAATAAACATTATTATTATTTTATATACAACCAAAACTGTCATCATTTTGAAAATATTTTAACGGAACTGTTCCTATTAGTTGTACTAAAAACTTAAAATTTCATAATTAACTAACGCTATTTTTCGAACAATTCATCGATGCAGTTTTATATGGCACACTCTGTAAAATTTTAGTCATGCAATTAGTATGGAGTTTCTTCTTAAAATGATATATTAAAGAATAAAATGATGTGTTTGAAGACTATCTCAAGGATTTTTTAATGGTGACAAATAAATGATACTACTAAAGGCAGGTGCATTAGAATATAAAAGGATTAAATCGAGCATAAGTTTCCTGGACTTAATTTATTAGTGTTGTTTCCATGCTAGGTCTTTGTTTTAGTCTGGGTAGCCACTTACTGTCAATGTCAGCTTGACGATGCTTCTAAAATATAGCCAAATGGGTTCCGACTCGTCTTGTACTTTACTGTAGAGCACAGTAAAAGTACGACTTCTTCAAATTTTACAATTGTTTGCGGAATCCATCTGTCAACGATTCAGTGGTCTCCGGTTAGAAAACTACATCATCTATAACTTTCATACGACGTCCCATCGTCTTCAACAGCCCAATCACCTGCTAGGTAGTATTCCTATTATACAACGTTTACTGTGCAAGTCACAACTAAACAACCACTGTCTAGCAAAAGTTACCTTCTCCAAAATAGTCCTTAGTCTTGTAAGCTTAAATACATTCTTTAATTCACGACTGTTTCAACTGTGGTTTTGCTAGTAGAGTATATTTTAGAACTGTTATCAGCGAGAGATTGTTTTGAGAAATATAAAAGCTTTGTTCCGAATGTAACCTTTGCTGCAGTTAGAGCCGTCAAGTGCGGTTTGACAAATTGGTTCGCGTTCGTCATCATAGCTTTTATACGCTCCTTTCATATTTTGGCTTTGATTAGCAGTCAAACGTCCGTTATTTCTGGTGAACAAAGAAAAAGCTTTCTTCGCTAACAGAATTCCTCTTGCTCGCCTTCGTGTTCCATAATGGATTTTCAAGATAGCTCTGCGTTAATATTAGTTCTCATAAGCACTAGTCTTACTGCTAAGCAAACAGCTTCATCTAAATCCTTTGATGGCGTCTGGGAACAAAAGATGGCCATAAAATGAAACTGCAGGCCGTTGTTGTTAATTAAATATCCATATTCAGTTTTCGTTTTCCGTCAGCGCCTTTTAACGGTCGGGATTACGCTGGAGCAACATTAAAGGAAACGGCCAACTCGAAAGCCCTACGGTGTGTGTTTAAAACGTTGGAAATCCTCCAATGCAGCGCAGGTATCTCCAAAAATGTAATTTACTATTCAACTTATGAGACTTTTTCCATCTATACAGGCTATTTACTGCTTTGCTTCCGAGGGGATGACTCAGATAAGAACGCTATAGTATGTTCAGCTTGCTCCTCAGATGTAATAGGGAATTAAGTGGCGTCAAGTACGTTGACTCTGCACTTCCCACGGAACGCTGTGTAATCAATGAAGAATTATGTTCGGCCCAAGCTAGCTTCTCGTACTTTCCACGCACTTCTGGACAAATGTACATAGTTTGTTTATGCATCATGTATCTGAGTCGACTTTCGTTCGTTCGTTATTTGTTTTCTGGCTATAAAAAACATTCTAACCTGATATAAGGCCGCAGAGTAGAATAGCTATCTGTGAGAAAAACTATTTGTCATTCAACAAAACTTTAGATTATGGTCTTTGAAAACGCACGATGTGTAGTTCTGAAGCGATCTTCTTACGATAATTATGGTTTTTGAATGCGCCACAGATCAGTGCAAGATCAACACTAGTACATCGCATCGCTGTAGCTGGTTGATTTTATAATCTGTTACCAGCAGATCACTTGTGGAGTAAGGGGTCGACAAAGGGGTTAAAGGTAGCCTAACTGCCAGGCTTAGCCTCCCCACCATCACTACTACTAGTACTAATACTACTACTTATTCTACTACGCCTGAATCAACTTCTTTCCGTTCTGGTCTACTTATTACTATTGGCCGGCTGAGGAAACGCTTAAAGCTGGTCATATAGTATTATACTGTCAGTCTATTTTTTTTTATAATCGAGGTCAACTTCTGTATGATCTGGTATTATTTGCTGGAGAAAAAGTTACTGAAAATGGATAAGATGTTTCATGCCATGAAATATCTTCATATTCTCAGAATAGAGCAAAAGCTGAACGTCCATTCGTTATTTCACACCAGAATAACTTCAGCCCTAATGTCGTCACCGTATCAGATTACTTATGTTAGATAAATTGGATTGCCCTAGTAGTTACTCTGACGCGTCGCTAACATCTCAGCTTTTTAGGTAACAAGATCGCGAGATAATTACCAGGCATCAGATTCGCACTCCATACATAGTCATACGTATAAAGAATATATTTCTCTCGTTATATCTTAAAGGCAAATATACAAATATATATGTGAACTATGCGTAATTGATACGTAGAATTACTAGGGTATACACCCCCAAAAACTCACCATGTACCCCTAGGTCTGCCGCCACAGGACCGATTTTAGAAAAAACAAAGCCTTGTCGTTCTTGGTGTAGTAGTGACCTTGTGTAAATCTCGTCAACATCTGACAGGTACTGTTCAAGTTATAAACGGGCCAGGATTAGCAGACAGACAGCTCTAGAGAAACGGGTGACTTGGTTTCGTGATACAAATATGAGGTAACATTCAAACAACGTAATATCTCATTTTCGAATATTTCACGATTACAATACTTCCTCGCCAATGAGGTGGGCAGTAAAAGTGAGCAGCGATTATGAAATATCACTTCTTGCTTTTTCGGTGCTGTGTATTTATTAACCAGGACAATCTTTTCCTCACTAAGCCACGCTTTCTTTAACCTACCTAGTGATAAGTATAGGAATTTTATGTTTATCGCAGATGTGCAGTCTCTCAGACTTGTACTTCGTATCTATGTTTAGCCTCGAAGCTTATAAACAGATCAGTACATGTGGAGTTTTGGGAATCGTGACTACTGTCTGTAGCCAGTGTCCGACCTTAAACACCATATAAAATCCTACACCAAGCGAACCATTCTAACTGTGAACTAAACATCGAGATGTAGACTGTATAGTAGTAGAATAATAAGGCTTCTGGCTTGGCAGTATTACTACAGCGCTGTATCGAACTCCTAACATATGTCCACCGCCGGGAACATTGTTAGCTAACTCGTGTTCACTTTTTATTATCATTTCCAAGCAAAGTAAACATCGCTGGTTAACAAGGTCTGTGGCGTTAAAAACCTAGAATAACAACTATCCTTCTCTTACAATCAATGCATGTATTACGGATTCGCAACTTCGCCAGAAACAGCGGTTCGTTCACGAAAGATTTATCTTATCAAATTTTCATTGGTTTTACATTTTCATTCTTCACTTCACTCAAACACACACATTATAGGCCTGCCATGTGGCGCAAGAGGTTTTGATTCATTTTCGTTTCTCCAACATACCAGAAAATAACTTACACAGTGCTTTTGTCCATCCATCTACTTTTTAAACCGGTCAGGCTAGTAAGACGAAATTCATGGTGATTGAAATTGATGCACGAATACCATGTTCTAATATAAAAGTTGGAGGAGTTGTAAATTTCAAGACGGCGGCTGCGATGTTTTCTTGATGGAATTATGGCTCATATACCACATCATTCTGAAGCTACTTGTAGTATAAGCATTATATTGTGAGGTAGTATGAGCCCATAATATAAAGTTCTTTATCTTTTATGAAAACAGTTTACAGTTGGTCATGGTTCAGTGTTGACGCGTGTTTGTAACCCTGAGTACACGAATCCCTTGAGTCGCGAAACATAAGCAATCAGTGGGTAGTACTCGTATGTCGTGCGA